AATACATATATTTAGCAGTTAGTCCTCGAGCCCGAATGGGTCATGAGAGTCGATAGCCCAGGCTGACTTGAGTTTGAATAATTGTTTTGGGTTTGACCAATTTATATTATTATTCATAAACTAATTTGATATTTAGAATCGACATGGATCTGTTTCAAGAGAAACATTGGATATACATTTTAAAAAACAGTTTAAAAACTGGTTGCTAAAAACGCCATTCATATTCATATTCTGTTATAAATACAAACTGTGGTCTCAGGCCCCGTCCACACTTTGTCGGATAAATTTGAATCCGAATTTTCACACCGAAACCGAAAAAAAAGTTTTCCGTCCACACTAAAATACGGCTAGCCGGCGTTTTCACATTGTTCCACTCTTACTATGGAGACCGTATTCGAAAAAAATCGTTTTCGGTGAATCGCCCGGACTAGTGTTGACGGTAGGCCTAACCGAATAAATAAAAATTCGGATTCAAATTTATCTGGCATAGTGTGGACGGGGCCTAATGCTTAAACAATTCAATATTAAAGAATATTCAAGGGAATGACATCTAAAACGGGAAAGTCAAAATTTGACCATCAATAAAATTTTCTTTAACATTAAACACGTTTAATAAAATCTCTATGTAACAGAAGTTAGTTGATTATTATTTTTGTACAGAACTGGTCGCAAATAGTTGTTAATAAATAATGTAATCCAGCTAAGAACAATCAAATAAAAATCAAGTTAAATTGTAATTGTATTTGGAATTATAAAATAAATTCTATAAATGACAAAAACAATGAAAAATATCAAGCAAATACATAGGATTTCGTCTTTTTCCCTTTCTTTTGTTTTACTTTGATTCTTAGTCACTTATTTCATAACTTTGTTTCAGGAAGCTTTTGATCAGGTAGTCGGTAGTCTCACTCGCATCCGTTTTTATTGTCGGTCGTCACGCAATGAACGTTGCGTGACGACCGACACTAAAAACGGATGCGAGGGAGACTAGAATATCGGCCGTAGCGCCAAGGCAGAGGTTAGTCGGCCCTAGACCGTAGATGATTCACCTCTTGCACACCGTGCTTTTATCTTCTGTCGCTGATAGCCGACCATGGTCACTCTTTTCCATGTGGGACAGGATGGGACCCAATAATTCAGCAGTTGAAATTATAAAATATCTTTTTATTATAACCCTCAAAATTAAAATTAAAATCGAAATTCTAAGCAATATATAACTATTTAAATTACTTCAGAACGCAAATTATAAAACTAATCTAAAAAGTTAGATTCAGGTACATATTTGTCGCTTAGCTGACTGTATCCATGGAAACTGCAGCCAAATCTTTCCTCTTCCGTTACACGTGTGCATTAGTACATGTTAGTATGATTTCATTTTAAGGATGTCTAAAGCTAAATTGACTCTGTTTATACTTGCTCGAGTGTTTTTTGCTTCCTTTTTCGTCTTCCTTGTGTGGTGCAACTACGAAAAAGTGACATTTCGTAAAGATTTCTCAACGGATGAATTTGACGAATTAATCAAGAACTGGTGTCGAGTTCGACGTGAAAGACAAGACGTTGAATCTAAACTTAAACCCTGTAACTTCAATATCTCTTGGGAAGCTAGAAACAACGACGAGAGAAGAAAAACTCTCTCTACAGACCCCGACAAGAGTATAATCTCTGAATTCAACATCCAACCTGCAGGAGAATTCAGTAGTTTTAAGATTCAAACCAAAACCTCGGAGGGCAGGAACAAATCAATCGGAGGTGATTCGTGGAGGGTTGTTCTACGTGGAAAAGCAAGCTTCGCACCGACCGTATTCGACCTGGGGAACGGTCAATATGAAGTATTATTTCTCGCAGCAGACCCAGGGGTTTATAAAGTTGAGATTGTACTTGACTATAGCTTGTGTGATGGGTATAGGGATCCGCCGAGCGATTGGTTTAGAAAAGGTAAGTGTATATGTAATAGCAACTAAATAAAACAAACCGCTGGGGAGTTGCCTCCGATACTTGGAAATGGCTTCCCGACTAATTTCTGAACCAATTAGACATACTAGAAGTTAATGCATTTTCTCCAAAATAACTACTTACTGAAGATAGAGAAGAGACTGACACTGAAATGGCTTCCTCTCGGAATCATATTGCTTCCAAAGAACAGGGTTGTTTAGGTCTGAAACAATGAATGAAAACTGTTCATTTTTGTATGAATATATTGAAATTTCTAAAATATTTTTTCGTTTCCTTTTTCATTAGTTTTCATTCATCCATCCATCCATCCATCCATCCATCCATCCATCCATCCATCCATTCATTCATTCATTCCGAGAAAGAGAGAGCGAGGAAGAAAAAAAGAAATTAATATGAGATTATTATGAAAAAGTATCGTACAAAATATAGGGAGAAAACCCAGTTTGATGATAGAACAGTCAAATGGCTTTCTATCTTGACCAATCAAATATGAGCCAAACTAAACGCCATTTCCGTGTTTCAGGAAATTCCCAAGGAAAAATGCAGCCAGTTGGAAGTCTTGAGGGGCATGCTCACAAAGACTATCTGTTAAAAGCATTTCAAAAAGGACGAGACGTTTACATAAACGTGCCATTACCCCAAAAAGAAGGTTAGACAAAATCTTTCGTCTATGCACCGAATCTAAATGTGGCGACCAATTTGAATAACTAATGTTAATTAGGGATGGGACCGCCATTAACGTGATCATCCGAGCCACGTGAAGGTCTAACCATTTGCAGATGTAATCACAAAGGCAGCACCTTCTCCTCAGTTATTTTAAGACCTTGAGTGTTGGTCCGGCCGAGGCTTGAAGAACGACCTCCCGCACAACAGACCGAAGCTCTTACCAACTGAGCTAACCGGGTGGCGGTTGTTCTGCACTGACTAAAAACTCACTAGCTTCGTGTTCACGTGGAAACGTAAAAGCGTTTTAACGTGTATGGAAGGTTAGTCAGTCGCAAGTCAGTGCAGAACAATAGTTATTCAAATTGGTCGCCATATTTCGATTCGGTGTATGTAACCTTAGATTTCCAGACTAGGCGTGGTAATAATACACTTGTTTCTCACCTCTGGGGTCTCGGTCTCAGTTTTACATGAGCAGCATTATTAATTGATGGTTTTCAACCATTCCCAAGAGAATTAAATAACAAAAGACACGTCGGCCATGTTGGAGGATATAACGAAAGAATTCATCGACAATTCTTTTGTTAAGTTCCTCCAACATGGCCGCCGTGAAAACGATCAATTTGAGGGTTTTTTCTCTGGTTTCTTCTTTCGATTTTTCACCCTCCGCAAACCCTAACACGCTAAATTCAATTCAATTCAGTTCAATTCCAGTTCAATCCCAGTTCAATTCCAGTTCAATCTGTGAGCTAGTCGTGCCCTGACTTTGATCAGTCTAGGAAGTTGATTCGGAGTACTGCTGATAATTGTAAAGTTTTGGGGAGATTTGAACTCATGCACTTTCTTCCTTGTTTGCGTCGTTAGGCTTTTTCTTGGTGCATTCTCATAACATCGAAGACTTGTCAAAGTACGATCCAATGTGTAAATCATCTTGCTCTTACGTGTGGGATGGATATGGAAGATGGATGGATGACGAATGGGTACCCCACCTCAAAGGTATTATGCCCGGCCATTTTAAAGAGAATTTCCAAGATAACTAACTTTATTAAACTGAGACTTGATTGTGCTACGATTTTGATGTTAAGTGACAAGTTTACGAGGAACGACCATTGGACATTTTTATTTTCTTATCTTAATGTATCTTTTGGGAAATTAGTACTCTTTACCTTGAGCGTAATGTTTTCCCGTTGCAGACCATGTGTCATTGAATTGACCTTGTTCGTGGCGTAACAATGTTTTCCCAATTCAGCGTGACAAACCTACTGAGGATTCTTTTTTGTTTTTTGTTTTTACTCTTCGAAAAATTCATGAGTATCCCAAAGGATACGAAAGGAATAACGAAAGGAGTTTCAAAACAATAGCTGTACATTCCTCTACAGGTTTGTCACGTTCAATTGGGAAAACATTGTCACACCACGAATAAGATTCATCATATCCCTATTTATGTATCTTCTCATGCGCAACCATCATACAAAGATATAATACTCTAGAGAATGACACGTGACTCGAAATGGGAAAACATTGACGTCACACGGAATACAAAAACAGACATAATGATAATGTTTTTAACTTGGATTCGTTCCAGCGAAAAGTACGATAAACACATCAATTCCTATTGGTCGAAAGCGTCAATACAGTACCTTACTATTATACGGAGATTCCCAGGCAGATAGGCTCCACGCTTCCCTGATTAAGTCTCCCATATGTAAGAAAATGTTCAAGTCTTGCAAAGTTAGAAAACTGTGGGCCTACCCGTACGATGGTGAGATACCTCCGTGGGACGAAAAGGACTTTGAACCCAACCAAATCATACAAGATATTAAAGAGGCGCTAGAGAATCCAGATATGGACGAGAATAGTTTGTTCATCTTCAATCTGGGGTTACACTATTCGATGGGGATCAGCTTTGTTGGGTATCAGGAGTTAATGAAGGGTGTTGTGAAGCAGATTCAGGAAGTTCGTAGCAAAGGATTCAAAGGGAAAGTTATATGGAAGACGACGACGTCATTGAGCAAGGAGAAAGACACAGACGAACTTCTTTTCTCGGATAGGAAGAGATTTCTTAATTTGCCGGTAAGTTTGTTGCTCTAGATTGCACAAATTTTCTCTTGCAACTTGTCTCGCAACGGTGTTACGACACAAGTTGCAAGAGTGCCAAAAGTAGAAACGAAATGCAGTCTCGCAACATTTTTTTTCAAATTGCTCTTTAGGTTACACGCTGCAAAAATGCTCCATGCAACTTGTGTCGAACGCCGTTGCGAGACAAGTTGCAGATAAAATTACTCCTAAGTGTAATCGCGCCTTTAGAGATGTTAGGGCATAAGCTAACAGCACACGTACACATTCTAAATAATATAGACTCTCGATCATGCGCAACTGTTAAACAAAGTATTATCAAAATGATTACATCATGCATGCATAAATATGTGYAACAAAACCCTCCCCCTCTACCCTTCCTCTTCACTCCAGGCCATATAGTGCAGTTTTCGTATGACTTTGAAAAGTTCACGGCACGAACACGGTCGTGACACAACAAGGGATACGCCAGACCAATCACATTGCTTGATAATTTACTCTCCATCCAATCAAATACCCGTAACACATCATAAACACGGCGCGGACACGGTCACGCCAAGATCACGGCACTTTTAGACCAATCATATTGCGCATGAAAAAAATCAGCAAATTAAAATTCTAGAAAGTATCACGGTCACGACACGTCACGCTTACGGCATTGAGCTTTTCACATTCATACGAAAACTGCACTATATTGACATAGATCTCTTACTTCAACAGAGAGTGGACCTCTTCAATGCTTATGCCAACAAACTCATGTGTGACTCGGGCATCGAAGTCCTCGACGTGTATCCGCTGACCAGAAGTTTTCCAGACGGGACAGGTGGACCGGAAGTGGCATATTACAAGGAACACGATATCGTTCACTTTAAGGTTTACGTCCTCAGACCTCTAGAATTGCTGTTGGAGAAGTATCTTCTTGGTCAGGTGCCTTATCCTATATCATGGTCAAACTATTTCTTTTCTTAATTTGATATCAGATTTTTCTTTTCGTTTACATTGGAATTGTCTGTCAGACGAAACAGGAAGTAGAACCGGAAGAAATTAGAAAAATATTAAATGGAAAAGAAAAAAAGGAATGAAATGAAATGAAAAGGAAAAAAGGAATGAAATAAAATGGAAAGGAAAAAAGAAGAAATTGGAAAGAAAAAGAAAAAAGAGAAGGAAAGGAAAGTAGAAAATGAAAATGAAAGAAGAAAAGAAGAAAAGCAACATGGAAAGGAAGAGAAATTAAAAGGAAATTAAACTGTAAAGGAAAGAAAGGCAAAAATAGGAAAGTAAGGTGAAAGAAGAGGAGAGAGAAAATGAAAGCAAGGAGAAGAAGACGAAATAAAAGTCGAAATCAGTCAAAAAAAAAAAAAAAAAAACACTTCTTCAACAGCAACCTAAAAACGAAAAATATTAATATTTTTTTCTATTTTTAAAGCTATGCGTTTAGGTTTCATACTTTAATCAAGTAGATCCCAATCATTGAAAAGTAGTTTTTCCAAAGACCGGAGTTTCTTTGCACGATGTTGCTCTCCGAATATCGCTAAGGTAATTTCCATAGAGCAAGTTCTGATTTGCAAACAATTGTCCAGGTTTGCGGTACGTGATGGCTGGATCTGACATGGATAGCTGTACATTGCTTGAAAAAGATTACGAGTTGCCACATCAATATTTAACTCTGGGATGTTTGCAGATAATGAAGCAATGTCTGTTCTTCGTGATATGTTTGCATTTGGCGGGCGGAAATGAATCAATTGAGAGAGATTAAAGATAAATGAAGCTCTAAAACAGAAAGAATGATTCATGGAAGGTAGTAAAGCTGTAATGGCGAATCAAAACAACAGCTAAAATCAATAAACCAAAGATAACAAACCAGAATGACAATATAAATTAAACACACAACAAAAAATGAACTCACGACAACAAACAAAACGACGACAATAAAAAATTGTTAAAACGAGACAATGACAAAAACAGCAACAACAACACCGAAAGAAATTAAATTTAAAATCTCTCAAACTGAGATGTCACTTTTCTCTTGAGATTATGGATTTCCAGACTAAATGCAAAACAAAACAAAACAAAAAAACAAAACAAAACAAAAAAACGGTGATAATAAGCCCTTGATAAAAGTGACAATAATATATTAATGAGTTTTATATTTTTATTGCAATGCTGTTCATATCATGTTTTCGCTGATTTTCAAACGTTTTGGCAGATGTACATTAGTTTATTTGAAGCTTTGACGATTAGGTGTGAATATCCGCAGTCAAAACTATGAAAACAAGCAACGACTTTTGAACTTTTGAAGCGCAATTAACAGCAAAAATATCACAAACAAATATTAATAAACTTTGTTCATTTTTTCCCGTGCTTTTCGTAATTATCTTCAGTTTGATAACTGTTTTCTTTATCAAATATGTTAACGTTTTATTGACAGCTTTTATTACAGTTTTTGACTTTGGTCCTGAAAGATTTTATTTTTCATCGATTTCAATACTAGCATTACAAGGTTATAGGAAATAGCAACTGTACTTATAAATTAATTTATTTATAAAGATTTATTATTATAGTTTATTTATAAGTATTTGTGCACTCGTCGTTTTCCCGCCAATTTCGACGCGATTGCCAGATGATTTTCCCGCCGATTTTCCGACAAGCATGCGCAGTGAGTCTTTGTTTTGTAGAAATAATATCTACGGTGAAGGGTGACGGCTGTTTAAACGCCGACAAACCTTTCTATCTTTTATTATTCTTAAACGGTATAAGTTTCTAAGACCCAAATATATTACTTTCGTGGCTTAAATTGTACAATTTTCTAAAGTTTTTTTTGCTCGTTAGTAATCTTGGGCATATTACGAAGGAAGTTTATTTAATTTATTAATACTTCAGAAAATTTCTTAGCCAAAACTCGGGCGTAAAATGCAATACGCGATTTCGCAGAACTTTTAACTCACACTATTCATTGCTAATAAATAATTTGGCCTTAACTCGAATACAATTTGCCTGAAACACAATTTTCTTTGTCCTTGTCGCTTACAAATGAGCTTGGCTTTGTGCTGACTGGCGTTCCGTTTGGCTTATATTTCCCACGGTATGAGTTCGTCGAAACAGCATATTTCTCGTGAACAATCGCTTAAAAGTTTTCCTCATCTCCGCATCTCGAAACGCGTAAACAAATGGGTTAATTCCGCTATTACTATACTGCATCCACTTAGCGAAATTCATAACGCTCTTGATTCCTTTCCAACCAATGGAAATAAGGCACGGTTTTAGGCAAAACCCGCCCAAAAGAGCCAGCACATAAGTTGGTAGAAGCTCAAAGAAAAACAACGCTGTAATGATGACGAGAGTCTTTGCAGTTCGGCGCTCTTTTTGGATCTTGTTTCTTTGTTCGATTTCAGCCGAGTCGGTGGATGCCATCGGTTCTTGGTGAATAAGTTTTTGAGCGACTCTAAAGATGTAAGCGTTGACGAAGCTGATGGCGATGAATGGGGCCACGAATCCAAAGATTACCAACACGAGGATATAGATTCGCCCTGGATGAATAACTTCTGGTATAAACACCAAGGAGCTTAGAGTGAGAGCGATTAACCACACAAGGGCAATTGCTGCGTAATATTGCTCACTTCTGAAGACCTGGTGCAGAAATGGTTTTGAAATAGCCAACCATCTTTCGATACAAATCACGGTCAAGTGCATGGACGATGATAACGCAGTGAGATAATCAAACCCCATGAAAAATGAATTAAGAAACTCGCCAGTCTTCCAGTTGCTGAGAGACGTGTACATCCATAATGGCACAGAAACGCTTCCAACCAAGAAATCACAAAACGCGAGGCTGACCAGCAACGTATAGGTTCCTGTACGAAGTCTGCGGTTCGTCTTGTAGGCGGCCATGACTAGGATATTACCAAACACGATTATTGGGATCAAAATAACAGAAAAAATAACTCGAAATATGTCCTCTATGTCCATAGATGATGACGACCCTGACTTAGGGTGCGTTTGAGATGGCATTTTTGTAGTAAAATTTAGACCTAAAGATTGGGCGGATTCCATTTTTTCGCAATTCGAGATCTCTCTACGTACGACGTTTTTCTACCACCGCTTCACCTTGCAACACATCTGATCGATTTAACACTCTTGATTGATAGGCCAGGAGTATTTATTCGTAATATAGGAGAACTGGAGCAGATTTGATCAATTGAGCCGGCTGATGACCAAAATGTAATCAAATGTCAAGTCTTGGCGATAAAGCGGCAAAACTTGTGGAACGGATGATTTCTTTAATCTCAAGTAGCGAGGATTTTAGTAAAGATGTTTTCGAAACTGAGTTTTTTTTTTCGATCGTCTTTGTTTGCTAATACGTCACAGTTATGATTCAAATCTAGCACTGATCGCCTTCAGTACCCGCCGAACAATAACAAAATTTATATGTACGGCAAAGTTAATGAGAATCTCTCGAGAACTTGAAAATAGTGACGGCCAAAGACATAATAGAAAATAGCGTGTCCGTAATCATAAAACGTCCTTTCCTGGCGCCGTTTATTTTAAAATCTGGGATAACAGTTAGTGTTTTTGAAGCCTTTTTCTTCAGGTCATACAACACCAAGAAGCGAGTTTCCGCTGTTTAGACGCTAAATGCCCTTCGCTCCAATCGATAATCTCACAGAACGTCTCTAAATGAGGTTTTTCCACCAATAAATGACCCTGTATTGATCAGAATATTAAACCTTAAAGTGAGCGTGGTTCAAAATAATATGTCACATCCTATACATGACATATTTGTTCCTTTTGCTTTGCCTTGTTGAGTTTCCCTGGAAAACATCCTAGACTTAATTCGTATGAGCTTCGTCTTCACAACAAAAGCACCAACTTCACTATTTTTTTGCGTGCAATTCAAATTTTGCTCCAGTTTTGCTCTCAAATTTTCATGCCCTCTTAATATCATCTTTCTCTAAAACGTAGGCGTGTAAAGCTACAATGTTTTTTTAGCTGTCACTGCCTCTACTATATTTACTTAACAACTTTAGAAAATATTACCGTAAACTTTCATTAACAAATCATGTTCTTTCAATTCTAAATAAAATTTTGAACTGCAAACAAGATTCATAAATGTTTACTGAAAAATTGTTCTTCGATAAATACAATCTAAAAATGAAGGAATAAATTTGAATAATATATTCAGAAGTGCAATTTTTCTTCAACAACACTAATTTTCGACAAGTATTTTAGTGAATATGGACTCTCTTATCGACAAAAATCTTGATTTAGAGTCGAGGGTTTAAGAGACTGAGTTGGGGAGTTTGTATCTCGCCAGGACTTGGTTATGTCAACAAACAACCTCTCTTTTGAATGCTCTCGCTAAGCAATAAAAAAGAATACTCAGTATTTAAGAGTAAATTCGAAGACTTAAACTTCAGTCGCTGTTTTTTCCAGTGGGCTAAAGTTAGAGTTTTGTTTTGAGAGACCAATTCAGCTCGATCTTATCAAGTTACCTCTAACACGAACAACACATATACACACCTGCTAACGGCTCATCAAATCGATTTTACCCACCTCATATCGCTTTTCGATTAATCTAGTATCATCAATTCTAAACGGATATTACGAAATTCTTGACTGCTTTGGGTATTTTTAACATAAGGTTTTGATTAAATATGAATTATCACGAGTCTTTTAAGAAGGCTCAGATCTTTTTCATCATGTTTCAATTTTTTCAAATAGCATTGAATCCTCTCTTTTTTTTCCAGGTTAACTGACTTCATTTTTAACGATTGAAAACAAGAATATAGACGAAAATTATGCTACAAAACGGGCTCAATTCACGCCTATTCTTCCGTCTAATTATTTTTCAACGTTGTTTTTAAAATACATAAAGAAAGCAAATAGAAAAGCAATCAGGAAGCATTCACAAGTTGACAGCCACGTCAAAGTTGACGTCCATCTTGAAACATTTGCACTCAAATTTCTTGTCTAGAATTGATGTTTGCTCTATTATGCACACTGCTTTCAGTATACCGTGTACACAGAAATGACATGTGGAATTGAAACAAGAAGTTTCTGCTCTAAATGTGTTTCTCTTCGAAACCAAGTGCAATCCTTTTGTTCGCACTATAAAAATTACTCGACTTCACTGAACTTTGTTTCGACCAGAAATCCAAATATATAGTTTTCTCTCTCTAAGTTTTGAAACCGATTCTAGGTAATGCTTACATGCAAGAACAATCAAACTTGAATAGAATTTTAAAAACAGAAATAAAGTTAGAAATTATTTAAGCGGTAATCAGTTTCCAATATAAGATTATTTTTGAAATCAAAATGAAAAGAAAAAATTTAATTTCTTTAAATGACTTTTTGCCAAAATAAACGACGCTCCAGGTTTATTCTCAATATTAAATTCCCCGGGGCATTTTTCGACGGACGGAGGTGGGATGCGGAGAGAAATAGACTGCATAGGTTATTCAACAAAAAACCTTTTTCATCGCTAGTCACTACCGCAAGTACAGCAGTGGCGCAGCTCAACGGGGTCGAACTGAAAGCATGTGAAGGCGCCTCTGGAAGCCGCTATACAATCCATGTATGATCCCGGAGAACAGCTCTAACCAGTTTGAATTAGTAAAGGTTGATTGAGAGAAGGGAGGAAAAACCCTTGGAGTCAATTAGAGAACCAACCAACTCAGCTCACATGGCGCGATTCGAACGGCGAGCGTCTTACCTCCACGACATCCTGACTCCCCAGCGTTTTCGAGTATCGTCGGGTACTACCCCCCTTCCCCCCCC